TAATAATAGAGATAGATGAAAATGAGTGCAGACGGGTTTGAATAAACGACAGCGGCTTTGACACCCAAACGCACCACATGGAAGCGGTTAGAAAAAAAAGATGAGAATTGCCTGGAAATTGATAAACGCGTTTCTGGTGACTGTTGAGTCATTTGCCTGTCACTTCACATTTTACTCAGTCCTTATTTTTTCCCGTTTGAGGAGATGTTCAGACACTGCTGCCCCTAAAGATCAGGACGTGCTTTTTGCGCAGATGAACGTGCGGGTGGTCTTCACGCGACAAGGGCGTGGAAAACAGCTTGTTATGAAGAATTATAAGCCTGTTTGTTTTTTAAACGTATTTATTTAAAGGAGTAAAAGTTTTAGTTGTGTCTGCTTAGTTCAGTTTGTTTTTGAGTTGCACATTGAGACTCAACAACCCGGTGTGAATGCACGCGTTTTACTCTGCGTCCTGCGTTTTATTGGCCTATTTTTTTTTGTTGTTGTTCCTGCAGTTCTTTAAATGTTTTTTAACCAGCCTTGAAAACGCTTGATGTGGATTTTAATGGTCTGATGCGGTGCGTAATGACTCCCTGTCAGGACGGCTGTGCACAGGGAGGGGTGGATAAAGGGGGGAAAAAACTTCTATAGTCTGCTAATGTTTTTTTCCACATCATTTACTCTGCAAATTATACATGGAGGACAGCATCCATTAGGAACGCGGATGCAGCCGGAGAGGCGCTAATCAGAATTATTTCCCAAAAGAAAGCCGTAAACCGATTTTTTTCCCCCCTTCCTTTTTTGAACATCAGGGTTGTCTCGTTTCTACTAACAAGAAAGAAAGAAGCAGAAAGGAAACAAAAGGTTTGGTTTCAAAGAGTTTCAGTGAGCTGTGCTTTGGGGGGGGGGGGGGCGCACACAGAAGAGTCAGCCCTCCCACCCTTCATTCTTAATAATCATCTGTCAAAACACCCACAAACTAATTTAACCGTTTGCACACAGATCTGGTAAATAAAAAGAGGGGGCCTTCTGTGTTGAAACATGTGGTCCAATAGTTGTTGGGGGCGGCGGGGGGGTGGGGGGGGGTGCAAATGGGTCTGTTTTCTGTAGCCGGACGAATCCCCGCTGTTTCCCCCTTTTTTTTCTTCTGTGAATCCCGAGACAGCAGCGGGTAACGTGAAAGCGGAGCGAGGGCCTTTTGAGAAGATTGTGTGTGTGTGTGTATGTGTGTGTGTGTGTGTGTGTGTGTGTGTGTGTGTGTGTGTGTG